TATTTATAAGAGAGGTGGTTCGTTTACACGGTATCCCTACAGATATAGTCTCTGACAGAGGCTCACAGTTTATTTCCAGGTTTTGGAAAGCGTTTTGTGATCAGTTGGGTATCAAACTTAATCACTCCTCTTCATACCATCCCCAATCCAACGGAGTTACAGAGAGAATGAATCAATCACTAGAACAGTACATTCGCTGCTTCACCTCCGATCACCAAGATGATTGGATGGAGTTACTCCCTTGGGCTGAATTCGCCCACAATAACTGGGTTCACGAGTCGACACAACATAGCCCCTTTTTTATAAATTATGGCTTTGACCCTATTACTCTTCCGAGTTCCTTTTCATCCTCGGCAGTGCCAAGCGTTGACTACACTGTAAAGAATATGAAAGAAACTTGGATAGGGGTCAAGCGTATCCTGACTCAAAAGGCCGATGCTCAAAAAAGTAAAGCGGACACTCGGCGCAAAAATGCTCCGAATTTTATAGTAGAGGATAGAGTGTGGTTGAGTACACGCAATATTAAATTACGAGTTCCCTCTATGAAATTCGCTCCGCGATTCATTGGTCCTTTTAGGATCCTCCAACGGATTAATCCAGTCTGTTATCGCCTGGACTTACCGGCTAATATGAGGATACCCAATTCCTTTCATGTTTCTCTTCTGAAACCTTTGATTTGTAATCGCTTTACTCGGAAACCCAGGACTCCTCTTTCTACACTCATTGATGGCCAAGACGAGTACAAGTTAAATCTATTTTAGACTCTCGTGTCTCTAGAGGTCGGCTCCAGTATCTATTGGATTGGAAGGGATACGGCCCCGAGGAAAGGTCATGGGTGGATGCCTCGGACGTGCACGCGCCTCGCTAGGCGTCGTTCTCGCGGGCCCTGTCCTCCCCGTCCTGGGGGCGGTCCTCGAGGGGGGGGTACTGTGACGATACCTTATCTGTGTCCGCCGATCCCGCGCAGCACGGCGGTTCCCCCGGCTGCTTCCGGGAGGCGGCGCAGCCTGTCAGACGCTGCCCGCTCGCGGCAAAATCAGTTTTATGACGCGGTGCATGCGCGCCGATGTCATGATAGTTTTGCCGCGAAAATTCAAACGCGGTCACGCTCCCGGACCTTTTGGGGGCGTGGCTTTAAAGTGACACACACATCAGTATAAAAGGGCATCCCTGTCCACCCCTCAGTGCCCTAGTGTGGTTCTTGATTGTTCCTCTGGTGCTCTTATACTTAGTTATCTGTTTTTCTGGTATTTTGACCCTTGGCTTCCGTACTGACGATTCTCCTATCTGGCTCCCCGACTTTTGGCTTGGCTTTCTCGTTTATCCCGATTTCCGTACTCCCTTGATCCTTTTCTTTTGACTATTCTCTGACGTTAAGTCCGGCCACCCTAAGGTCCGGTATACGTCCATTTCTGGGTTACCATCTGTGTAAAGGGGTCACTGTCGTGACACTTATCTAAATAGATAAAAGGTATTATCATATCATGGCAAATAAATTTATTTATTTTTTCCAGTCCTTCTGCAACTAGCTTTGCTAATAGGCAAATTTGATTGGATTATGTTACATACATACATTATCATAACGGACATGCATATTTTGACAGGAATTCATGAGACCGTATACACTACTGGATGTTTTTCATGCTTACTGCCAGAGTTCCTATGTTAGTGCTATTAGCACACTTCCTCCCTACCATGTGGTTTTGGTATACTATATGGCTTGCACCCGATTACCCAAGATGCTATATATTTAGAGGGAGCTCTATCCGTGCAGTTTGGTCTCCTGCTATGTCTGTGCCCCATTGATTGGCCTGCTATGTCTGTGCCCCATTGCTTGACCAGCTGTGTCTGTGCCCCATTGCTTGACCAGCTGTATCAGTGCACCATTGATTGGCTAGCTATGTCTGCGCCCCATTGATTGGCCTGCTATATCTGCCCATTGCTGGGCCTGATCTATCTGTGCCCGAACCCCTTTTTGGCCGCAGGCCTAGGGGGATATCACGGAGGACAGCCCAGTACCCACTATTGACATGGAGATAAGAGGTGTCCAGGCAAGCACTGCTGCCATACTATCCAAGAGGACACCAGTATATGCAGTAGAGGGCTGTAGAGGGCTACCTGATCGGGCAAGGTATAAATGTTTAGACTGGATTTCTCTATTTCTCCTCCTATAATGGATCTGCTGGGTCCGTACCACTGTCTCCCACACGAGAAATACTCACTGAGGTATTACTGGGGGAGTTTCCGCACCTTATTTTCACGCTCCCCTAAGATTTGATGGGACAACGTAGGGGCTGTTCGAACTGGGTACAGCTCCCAGGTTCAACCCAATTTGTTGGTGACCCCATACCTTCCTATTGGATATATTCCTGGAAGACGGTACGGCCAACGGAGGTGCCTCGATTATTACAGGTGTGCAGGTGTGATCTACCCTATATCATACAAACAATCACACTCTGTCTAGGTTATATAGACCATTGCGTACTAACAGTTCAGACTGTTTTTACCCATGGCAAGGTGACAGGAGATCCTGCAGCCTTCATAGAGCAAGCGTGCACTGTCTTACCTGCGTGACAAGACTGAGGAAGGCCCACAACCCGGGCTGCAGGTACACCGTACGCATAGGCCGCATGGAAAGAACGGAATCGTCGGTCGACCTTGGTTTCCTTGGTTGTTAACAATCTTGGGATAGATGACAGGACTACCTCTGCTCCTCTGAAAACATGATTCGGTTATGGAGGACCCTCTTTCTAGGCTTTAATCCCTCACGTGAACCGCCTGGGTTGTGGTTTTCCGCTAACCCACCTAGTCAACTACCGTCAAGGAGGCCTGCTTGGACCCTGTGGAGAGAACTCTGGGTACCCCGACTCCTGCACAGATGTCACAAGGTCGGGAAGCAACCTACTGCTGGAGAAATGCTCTGGAGCGGTAGCAGGCTCAGATATGATGGCCGACGTTCCCAAACTGGATGGCCTCTGCTTCGGACGGTTGTAGCTGGGACCTTGTTGATTCGCTATTCCGGTTCTCCTATAGTTAGTGAAGGGACTTTTAGTCTAACCTGCGTATTTGAGAATGCTATGGGTTCTCGAGACTCCAGGCTAAGAAGGGAGGTATTCCTATAGTTCGGTTCTCGAATTCACATTCCTGGGTCCCTTGGCCTTGGGCCTTATTGGGGGAGATACGTGCCCGGACAGTCAGGGATACAGGGACCTAAGGTCTCACCATATTATACCCTGTCTTGAAAGCGGCGTGCTGACCATGAGTCCCTCCACGAACTTTGACAGATTGGACATGGAACAGGATCGTACAGACTATTTATCGGATTATTCACTCTCCCCCTAATCAGTTGCCAGTCTCGCAGACGGAAGTCCAACTCCAGACCCGCTCACCAGGGCCATTTTGTTTTTCGTCAGCCGGCCTACACTTCAAACCGATTTAGAAGAATTTGCGGTTCTCCACACGATAAGTATGGAGGACTCCTCTTTGTCTATGCAGGGCCCTATTTCCCTTGGATCCGTGACCATCTGTAACTCCCCGACAAGGATATATTTGGAGGGAAATCTCATACTCTAGTTTTGTTTCCCCCTTTTTGTTATATCCAGGATGCACAGTTCCCCAGAGTAGCCGATCATCGTTTCGCTACGCTAGTTCAGTGTTGGGACTCGGATTGGACGTCCCTGGGGAGTACCTTATTCTACCACGGTTGCAGTTTACCCAGTCCATTTGGAGTACTGGTAGCACTCTTGCCGGCATAATAGGTTCATTCTCGGACGAGATCACCAGCCGGGTAGATCATGAGAGAACGATAAGACTCTATTCAGTTCGGTTACGGAAATGATGGTAGACGCATTACCTGAGGTTGGAATTTTGTCTACAAGACCACTTTACCTAGTGATCCCGACACGATCCAAGGAGCCATCACCCACATCAAAGGTCGAGAACTGGTGACAGTTTTCTTGCAATCCTAATTCCACGTAGGGCCCTTGGTGTTTTACAACTACAGGGAAATAGCTAATAGGTCAGCTTTGCAGTTCAGGGTCGCCTACTAGGAAACGGGTCGTAATCCCATGTACAGTGGATCCAACAACGGATAGAGTTTTTCCTGTATTTGGGATACATCGACAGCTAGCATCTTCATTTATCCGTCTACTGTCCCTTCACATAGTTGGAGGGCCCATTGAGGATTGCTCTGGTTATCTCCCGGAATAGATACCAGCGAAACAAACAGCGTTGGATTTGTTGGCTGAGCGTTAAAACAGCAAATACGAAGCCTCCTGTCATTTTATAAAATTGTAGATTATGCTAGCTTTAGTGTACCTATAATCTTAATTTTATTAATGACAGGAGGCGAGTATTTCCCACCCATTCTTATCCCTCCCTTGTTTAATTTTAATTGTTTGGGTTCATCAGGTACGTATGCAACTCTGCTTGTTGTGTCTGCTACCTGTCACTTGTTCTTATGTCTATGTTTCATAAGTAGAGTTGGGATATCTAGATATTTGGGTATTTTGGTTGCTACATTAAGTACCTACATGCTTGTTAAGGGTACATTTCATTGACTAATCAACCTGTTCGATTCTGTTTTTTCTCGTTTCAGTTTACAGTCTATCAACACTATCTGGTTTGGCAGTTCTCCTCGCATGGTGGACATTGTCGTATTCATTGTATCTAGGATTTCGTTTCTTCCCATTATATTTTTGCTTTTTGTTCTGTTTTGTCGCAGCTTGAAAGAGGAAATGATGCATGGGAAGAGGAGTTTTATAGTAACTAACTTTTTTCTGATTGGTTGTTTTTTCTGTGCTGCTGTGGAGTTCTAGTAAAGAGAGACTTAAGCAAATACTCGCCTCCTGTCTTTAATAAAATTAAGATTATAGGTACGCTAAAGCTAGCATAATCTACAATTTCAAAGGACACCTTTAGGTGGCATGAGGTTGCAATGGAAATCTGGCAATCTTGCATATAGTGCAGAGCTGTCTGCGGTTCCGTGGATAGAACAGCGCATGACGTCCGAGCTGGAGGTATCCAAGAATGCGGCGTTCACTCCAGTGAGAGCGGCGTGGGACTGGGATCTTTGTGGCTGCCGTGCAACACCTCTAGGTATGACAGGATCCCGATAACAAGTTATTGCAAGATATCAAAAACTGTGCTAGTGAGAAAGGGCTTTCGGAGACTGAATACAAAACATGGATGGTAAGTTTTCCAACTTTCCTGTTTTTTACACGTTACTGAAGATCATAAACAAAAAACGATTTCCACCTGGTAGACCCATAGTAAATAGCACATGGACAGTCATCCAACCCCACTAGAGATCTTGGATAAATTTCTAATATATTATGTACCTGAACAGACGTACTATAGTATAGATTCCACACACTTTTTTAAGATTCTTGCAAAATCTAAAAGAATCTGTTTAAAACCTGAGCTCTACTCTTAGTCCCGAGAGCTTACTGAAGTTCATCATGGTTGACTATATTTATTACCTATTATTAAATTTATAGATGTGTGTATGTATATATATATATATATATATATATATATATATATAGTTTGTATATTATATATATTTTTTAATATTGTACCTTTCTGTAACAATGCAATGTTTTGTGGACCCAGGACATACATGAAAATAAGAGAAATCTCAATGTATCCTTTCTGGTAAAATATTTAATAAATAAATAAATAAATAATTTATTTTTGTGGGTTTCATTTTATGTGTGCATCTGCAGGACACAAAACTCTCAGGCATATGACCTCCAGAGACTTGAAGACATAATTCTGTGAGATAAATGTACAAGTATTGATGACAATTATTTAAGTCAAATACCACAAAAAAAAAAAACCAATAAACAAGCTAAGGCACAACTAAAGAACAGAAAAAACACAAAATGTGCAGCAGATACGAAAATGAGTATCAAGGTTATATACACTGCTCAAAAAAATAAAGGGAACACTTAAACAACACAATGTAACTCCAAGTCAATCACACTTCTGTGAAATCAAACTGTCCACTTAGGAAGCAACACTGAGTGACAATCAATTTCACATGCTGTTGTGCAAATGGGATAGACAACAGGTGGAAATTATAGGCAATTAGCAAGACACCCCCAAAAAAGGAGTGGTTCTGAAGGTGGTGACCACAGACCACTTCTCAGTTCCTATGCTTCCTGGCTGATGTTTTGGTCACTTTTGAATGCTGGCGGTGCTTTCACTCTAGTTGTAGCATGAGACAGAGTCTACAACCCACACAAGTGGCTCAGGTAGTGCAGCTCATCCAGAATGGCACATCAATGTGAGCTGTGGCAAGAAGGTTTGCTGTGTCTGTCAGTCTAGTGTCCAGAGCATGGAGCGCTACCAGGAGACAGGCCAGTACATCAGGAGACGTGGAGGAGGCCGTAGGAGGGAAACAACCGAGCAGCAGGACCGCTACCTCTGCCTTTGTGCAAGGAGGAACAGGAGGAGCACTGCCAGAGACCTGCAAAATGACCTCCTGCTGGCCACAAATGTGCATGTGTCTGCTCAAATGGTCAGAAACAGACTCCATGAGGGTGGTATGAGGGCCCGACGTCCACGGGTGGGGGTTGTGCTTACAGCCCAACACCGTGCAGGACGTTTGGCAATTGCCAGAGAACACCAAGATTGGCAAATTCGCCACTGGCGCCCTGTGCTCTTCACAGATGAAAGCAGGTTCACACTGAGCACATGTGACAGACGTGACAGAGTCTGGAGACACCGTGGAGAACGTTCTGCTGCCTGCAACATCCTCCAGCATGACCGGTTTGGCAGTGGGTCAGTAACGGTGTGGGGTGGCATTTCTTTGGGGGGCCGCACAGCCCTCCATGTGCTCGCCAGAAGTAGCCTGACTGCCATTAGGTACCGAGATGAGATCCTCAGACCCTTGTGAGACCATATGGCCCTGGGTTCCTCCTAATGCAAGACAATGCTAGACCTCATGTGGCTGGAGTATGTCAGCAGTTCCTGCAAGACGAAGGCATTGATGCTATGGACTGGCCCGCCCGTTCCCCAGACCTGAATCCAATTGAGCACATCTGGGACATCATGTCTCGCTCCATCCACCAACATCACGTTGCACCACAGACTGTCCAGGAGTTGGCAGATGCTTTAGTCCAGGTCTGGGAGGAGATCCCTCAGGGGACAATCTGCCACCTCATCAGGAGCATGCACAGGAGTTGTAGGGAGGTCATACAGGCATGTGGAGGCCACACACACTACTGAGCCTCATTTTGACTTGTTTTAAGGACATTGCATCAAAGTTGGATCAGCCTGTAGTGTGTTTTTCCACTTTAATTTTGAGTGTGACTCCAAATCCAGACCTCCGTGGGTTGAAAAATTTGATTTCCATTATTTAATTTTTGTGTGATTTTGTTGTCAGCACATTCAACTATGTAAAGAACAAAGTATTTCAGAAGAATATTTAATTCATTCAGATCTAGGATGTGTTATTTTTGTGTTCCCTTTATTTTTTTGAGCAGTGTATAACAAGCAGCTTTTAATAGAAAAAGGTGAGGTCATTGATCAGGTGGGTGTCTGCAGAATGTAGAGAGCACTGATGCAAGTCTGATACATCAAACCACGAGGATGTATTGTGACACCGGCATTCGCATCATAAAATGATACGGGGCAACGGTACTCATCAACATCAGAATTGCTAAGCGTTGATGGAATTCAGGAGTCTTTCATAGTCAATAGCCTTACATGTATGATGATAATGATACAAAATAATGGTAAATGATGGTAATACGCACAGGATGGAAATTGTCATGTCAAATGTTTTTGATGTAAAGCCAAGAAGATGATGAAGAAAATTAATAAAAGCCGTTTGAAAGGACAGTTACAGCGCAAAATAACGATTCTTTTTACCCTAATACAAATTATTTAAAACACAGAAACAAATTGTAGCTATGACACAACAATAATCGATGCTCTGGCAAGAACACCTGCATATGGATATGTTGGTAAAGGGAAGCTTTAAAAAGGAACACTCCACACACATTTAAAAAAACGTCACCTTGTTACATGTCTTCTTTATTCAATTTATTAAGTGCTCATTTCAATAGAAATTGGCATATTTCTAAATAATGCTTGTTACATCCCCCCAGATGCTCCTGTAACTACCTGGTAGCTTAGGTCCACAGTGCTAAATTCTATAGTTATATAGGTGAATAGTTATGCACATTGACTTTTTCTGTAATTTTGTCCTATTTGTTGTTTGCTTCACAATAAAAAAAAAAAAAATCTTCAAAGTTGTGGGTATGTTCTGTAAATTAAATGATGCAAATCCTCAAACAATCCATGTTAATTCCAGGCAACAAAACATGAAAAATGCCAAGGGGGGTGAATACTTTTGCAAGGCACTGTATATAATTTTATTCAGGAGAAATATGGCTTTCATTAAACATCAAATATTTAGCTATGAAACATAATTTAATATGAATAAAATATAAAAAATTAGAGAAATAAAGATCTTTTGTTATATATTTTTGTTCTGCATGACATTTTAACTGTGAATGTCGTAATACGGTTTGCTTTTACTGCAATAAAATACACATATTTATGTTCAGCAATGTCTCACGTGTAAAACAGTACCCCCAATGTACAGGTTTTATGGTGTTTTGGGAAGTTACAGGGTCAAATGTAACATGTTGCATTTTTCAGTTTTTTCACATTGAAATTCGTCAGATTGGTTACGTTGCCTTTGAGACCGTATGGTAGCCCAGGAATGAAAATTACTGCCATGATGGTATAACATTTGCAATAGTAGAAAACCCAGGGTATTGCAAATGGGGTATGTCCAGTCTTTATAAATCATATGTAGACCGTGACAGAAGAACACCTCCTTCATACCAAGTTGATCAACTCATCTGATTATACACCTGATATCTAAAACTACTGTGTCCTTGCAAGAATTTGGTCCTAAATACATTGGTCCATTCTGTATTAAGGAGATTATCTCTCCTGTTGTAGTTCAATTTTGCCTCTTCATTACTTCCATCCTTACATGTATCATGTATACATGTAAAATACCTTCCCAGATCGGGTCATCCCTCCTCCAGCTCCCATGATAGTTGCTGGGGAACCTGAATATGAAGTACAGGACATCCTTGACTCCCACATTTGAAGGGGGAATCTTGGATATCTGATGCATTGGAGAGGATACGGTCCAGAAGAGAGGTCCTGGGAACCTGTAAATAACATCAATGCTCCTCGCCTACTCCGGAAGTTTCATCTCCGACATCCTTCTCGTCCTGGTTCTGGTAGTCTGCGGAGGTGACTCCTTATACAGGGGGGTACTATCAGGCCCTTGTCCCCTCACTCACCTACCTCGTGCTCCCACACCGTGTCTCTCACTCACTCCACGAGGATGCCGTGTCAGAGGTCAGTTCAATCACTCACGTCGACTGCTCAAGTTCATGCGAACAGCACCTCTGTTCACACAAATGTTCATTACCAGACACAGTAGGAAGAACTCCATGCGTATGAAAGCCACCTCTGTTCATGCGAAAGCTACTCACCTATGCTGCAGACAGAACTCCGTTCGTACGGACGCCGGCTCCCAAAAACAGCAAGAACAGAAGCCTGTTTGTGAGAACGCTGCTGCTTCCATGTGCAACCACACAGAAGGAAGAACTTCAGGAGAATCAAAGGGCACACGCACGCCAGCACAGAGCCTTTTAAAGGTAAAGGAGGTGGAGACGAGGATGGAACCTCAATTAACAAGACCACGCACTTTCCCTATTTAAGTCGCACACACCCTTCACTCTTCACTCATTTGTACTGTGCTCCTGATTGTGTAAAGACCATCAGAGACTCTCCTGCTGCATCCTGATCCTGATTTTGACCCTTACCTGTATCATCGCTTCTGAACCTGTGCCGCCTGTCCTTACATTTGGGTTCCCAGACTATTCTCATCCGCTAATCCTTTGGTATTGCGAACTTGGTTCTTTGCCTTCGGCATCTATCTGCATCTTGGGCTCTGTCCACTAAACTGTGCTCCCGACACAGTGAGAGTGTATGTGTGTGTCTGTCACTGTGTGTGTGTTTGCCAGTGAGAGTGTATGTGTTTGTCTGCCACTCAGTGTGTGTGTGTGTGTGTGTGTGTGTGTCAGTGTATGTGTGTGTCTGACAGTTAGTGTGTGTGTCTGTCAGTGAATGTGTGTGTGTGTGTCAGTGAGAGTATATGCGTGTGTCTGTCAGTGTGTGTGTGTCGGGGTGCCCAAGTCATATCATGCCGAGGGCAGCACAAAACTAAAACACACCACTGTGTATATGTACGTGTCTGTATACGTACATATATGTTGTATACATGTATATGTGTATACCTGTGCATAGGTTGTAAATAAACTCACTTTTTCACAAAAGCATATCAATTGAACTGTTAATGGTTCCAGAAAAGTCTTCATTGAATACTATTTTACAAATCTACTTTCCTTACCTCTTATGTCACTTTACCCCACTCCCTCTAGCATGTAAGCTCATTGAGCAGGGCTCTCAACCCCTCTGTTTCTGTGCATCAAAATTGTCTGGTTACAATGACATGTTTGTTAGTCCACCCATTGTAAAACGCTACGGAATTTGTTGGAGCTATATAAATTATATAAATATAATAATAATAATAACATAGGCATTTAAGTATTTTCTGGATTCTTGGATGTGAATTCATTCATTCTTAATCTGCATTATAATTTTTTATTTTTTATTCTCCCCCTACTAGTACTATCTCCTGCACATTTTGTTTCTCTCCCCCCTCACTCTTCCTTCCTTACACAAGGTATTTATGACCCTCTATAAGAAAGGTGTCTATTTTCTATCAGACCTTTGTCTTATCTGCACCCTCGTCATGCTTTAACCAGCAGTATCACAACTCAACTTTGAACTCTATGTGTTGTTTTTTCTCAGAAATACTTTAGACTTGAGAAAGGGAGATTCTCCATACAGCTAGTCAGTCCAAAATGATGTTAGTCCAATTAAAAAGTATTATAAGATACTAATTTTATCTCTTATTTAACATCAGCATTCCCTGGACTAATAGGGCCGCAATCTTTTCGCTCTCTATCATTTTTTTAGGTTGATATGTGAGTGTTGGTGAGATAATTTTTTTTTTATAGATAACCAACACTATGCATACAATATTACAGGCAATATAATAAAAGAAAATATATATTTTTATTCCAGACTTATTGGTTTTGTTTTCTTTTGTAATGTTAAAGACTTGAACTCTGACAGGCTTGTTCTGTATTTCACTCTGGCACTGCATGTTTGATTTGCATATCAGCACACCCTGCATGTCCCTGCCTAGGTTTACCATAGAGACCACTCTAAAGCCACAACCAACATGGCGCTCGGAACGCTGCGTCACGTCTCGCGCCGACGTCACCGCGCCAACCCCTCGCCTTCCTTCCGTCCCGTGCTGTCCGCCCCCTTTTCCCAGAGAGAGGCCCCGCCCTCTCCGCGCTCTCACTTCCGGGCTGCCTTCGTAACAATGGAGAAGATGGCGGAGTGAGGAGAGCTTTGGGCGGAGAAGCCGGAATCCCACGTAAAACAGAGGTAGCGGCCTCTCCCCAGGGTATGTAACCGCCGGCAGGGAGAGGGGAGCGCACGGGATCATCGCTGGCTCTTCCCGGCCCCGCGGGGGGGGTGTGAGGGGGAGCCGGCCCCGCTGTCAGCACAGGCACACGGTGTGAAATGTACGAGAGGCCGAGGCTGAGAGCCAGCAGACCAGGCCGGGCTCATTAAACAGCCGATTGCCGGATCCCTGGAGGCCATGGAGGGCCGGAGACGGATTGAGGGCGATTAGCGTGTCCCCCAGCTCTGGGATATGTCCACAGACAGCCAGACAGCCAGCAATACCTGTACTGACAGAGCTCGGGGTATGGGGGATGGAGGGCTGCCTGCCTGGGTCTATCTGTCAGGGTTACTGGCTAATGGGTGAAATGTGGAACATCAGAAACGTTCTTCCTATCGCAGGCCGAGATATTGGGATTGGGGAAATTCTTCATGTTCTCTTACAGGGTTATTTACTAAAGAGAGAGAGAGAGAGTTCAAAGTGAATTTCTAATGAAAGGCCAAAGCAACTGAACTGGAATCAGAGCTGATTTTAGAGGATTTTTAGGCTGGTTTTGTCTTTTAAAAAAAATAAAATAGTAATTTTTATTTGTCCTTTTATTTTAAATTTTGAAATTCACTTTGAAGACTCAGTTTAGTAAATTAACTGGTGGTTCAGTTTTATTTAGTTTTACATTTCCAACACTTCTCACCTTGACAAATCCCCTTTTTTAAATTTTTTTTTTTTTTTTGTAATAAAGTTAGGTCTCAAATGAGTCATAAAAGAAACGTATAGAAAGAGAATTCTGTCCTATTTCTCAAGTAGTTATTGGCTTGTTTTAAAGAGAGACTGATAGAAATACTTGAGCTTGCTGAAGTGCTTTACGTGTCTGAAGTCTTTCATGTTTGTGGTAGTTCATAGAAGTGCCAATTTCAATAGAAATCAGCACTATTATAAAAGGGGGGGCCAGAAACATCTCTCTCTCTCTGTCAGCCAGTGAGGTTTTTCTAGCGGATATCTGCCTTCTCCGAAAACCATAGGAAAGCTGGGTACCCGTATTTTGGCGTATTCCCTGGCACAGATGTCTTGCATGTTTGCAGCATTTACAAGCTGTTTGTGGGTAATACTGTTGCCCAAAAATAATGGCATGTGCCCTTTAATATATTGTGGGCACACTAACTTTTTTTTTATTATATCTAAAGCTCGTTTCCAGTAACATACAGACATATCAGATTTCTAGGGCAAGTATTGGTTTTATCAATGCTGTGACAAATTATTTTGAGATGTTTGGCAGATATAAAAACCTGATCTGTTTAACACATTTTCATAATATATAATTTTTTTATTTTTTTTTAAAGGAAAAACCTGCTTGTGTTCTAAATTTTAGAAGGAAAGCACAGATAATTTTTTATTTTTACATTTCCAATACTTTAGTGATTGTGTTTGCCGTTAGTGTTTTATTCTAAGTTATGAAACATCAACATTCTTTTCTCCATATGTACGCGTAAGTGATCATATACAGTTATACTATGAAATTCCAGGAAGTGATGTCAGGATGACACATTCCCTGGTTGCAATAACACATAAGGTTGCCACAGTTATAAAGACTGGTGCAAACATTTTTTTAATTCCATGTGCAACAGAAGGAAATGGTTGTATGCATTTTTCCATATGTTGTCTGTGAATATACAGACATTTTAGGCCAGTGTAAAAATGTATTATGTAAACTATCTGACCAATTAATGAGGGGGCGGGGGGGGGGAAACTACAACTGTAGTAAACTAAAAATACAGTTTTCAAAAAAAGTCCAGTATTTGTCTCATCTCCATTTAAAAAAAAAAAAGCTCTCTTACTCCAAACACTATTTGCAGAACAAATAAATTGCAAAACATAGATGGCTTTAACATGCATAGGCAACCTTCGGCACTCCAGATGTTTTGGATACCTTGCACATATTATGGGGGATGTAGTCCACAACATCTGGAGTGCAGAAGGTTGTCTACCCCTGTGCTATAACATTGAGTGGTTACAAGTGACAAAGTGGTGTAGTTATTAAAGGTTGATTTCAAGCGTCATGACCACTCCAGTGATTTAAAGTTGTCATGGTTTCTGGTATCTAAATGTGCAACGTTTGCTATGACCTTTGTGCTTAACCCTTTTGCTGGTGTAACTCCACCTCTGGCGGCATCATTAGTGTTCCGGACTCTTCTGTGCAACTCTGTGGCCTAGATTGGTCAGCTGAGACTCTCCATGAATGAATGTCTGTATTGACATTTGTTTTCTGCTTCCTTGCAGAAGCCAGGTATACGTCATAAGCTATAGTGGACCCTCCACATTGCAAAACCGTATGCCTCATTGCCAGCAAGCAGGGACAGGGATGTAGTAATGATGATGCTTGGAGTAACCCTTTCAACTTGGAGCTTTGACCAGAAATTAGCAGTTTTTAAAAAGGTACATTAAGAAACAGTATCAGTTGTTTGGTGTTCAAAGTGAATTATACATTTTAGCCCAAAATTGCCAAACTGAAAAACAAGGTAGATTTGATATAAATCAATTCAATTTAAATCACTAGTCCGTAAAATTCAATTAAAATCAAGGTTTCTAGATGTAAAGGCTCATTTTTGTTTGTAGTTTCTCTTAATATTTTCAACCAGATGAAGATTTCATATTTAGATTAGTAAAATGGCTATATCAAAACAAATTTTAGTTTAGTAGATTAGAGACACTATAGTCACCAGAACTACTACAGCTTAATAATACAATGCATTTCTGAGGAGGTGCTGATTGGCATAGCGTGTTGTTTTGCTGTGCATGTGCAATTGCCTTCCAATGCTGTCCAATGAAAAAGCATTAGATAGGCTGAGATCTTCAAATTTGATATCTGCCATGGAGGCAGGGCCAGCTGCAACAACCCCTTTGGCTAAGATCATCAAACTTCTTATTGGAAAGCATTGGGAGGGTATCGCGTGTGTATGGCAAAACGCCGCGCTGCACCAATCATCTCCCTATAGATATGCGTTGTCTTAATACTTCTCTATAGGAAAAGTTCAGCGTCTCCATGCAGTGTGTTTTTGGTTAACATTTCCATTTTCCTTATCAGTTCTCCACAAAGGTCATGCAAAGTTGCCTGAATATTTAGCTGAAAACGCTTGTCTCCATGAAGGCTAAGAATATTAGGGTATTTGTTTGTTTGTAAGGTTGACTGTGGATGTAAATAGTTGATTAAAATGTTTAGTTTAAGAGTTACTCCAAACACCATGACCATCAGTGATTTGAAGTGGTCATCGTACATAGTCTGTGTTTGAAATGCTACACATCATAGTAGCTCAGCCTTGAGTTTAGGATGACAAATGTTAAAGTAAAATGAAAAAAGCAGCTTACCTGAAATTGCTCCTGTATACTTTTGAATGGCTCCTTTCCTATACTTCCTAGCTAGCACTAGAAGTGCTGGTTCAGGAGTTTCCATAGCAACCACAGCACATGCGGTGTGGTTGCTATGGGCTAAGAGCAGAGGGATCTCCTGTGGGAAGTCTTTTCTGCTCTTCATTGTCAGTCAGTGCAGAGGCATTGACAGATGGCTGGTAGAAAAACTATTTTGAACTAGGTTTTTCTCTTAATCTATACATTTTGTAGCACAATGTATAGATAAAATCTTATGCTCAGTCTAATTTAGCATACATATAGTTGTTTGGGAATGTGATGTCCTTTAATTCTGTGCAAAATTGGTGCCTGACACCAATTTACTCATGCAGGCGATTGCCCTTATTGGGAAAGTGTCCCCCAGCAGAGACAATTTGTGTTGTATGGAGCACAGGGGCAAGGCAGGTCCAATGTGTGTCACATTACTGTAACACCCACAAAATTGGTGAGATGGCTGTCATCTTGTTGCTGGTTAAGAGGTAAGTAGGCATCCAACATATCCTAAATTAATCTAAGCAGCTCTGTCCTGTTCTTTTTTTAAAACTGCAGCTTATATAGCACTACAGAAATAGTGTTAAAGGGACACTCCAGGCACCCAGACCACTTCAGCTAATTGAAGTAGTCTGGGTGCTGTGACCCTTTTTGCACTTAGTGCTGCAATGTTAAACATTGCAGTGCCAGCCACTAGATGGCTTCCAGAATCCAAACCGACCTTTGGTTGGTTATCTGACGCTGGACGTCCTCACCGACCTCCAGCGTCAGAATTTTCCCATTGGAAAGCACTCCAGGATTCTCTAGTGCCAGGAAAACTGGTTTGTTTTCTTGGCACTGAAGAGTCCCTTTAATTTATCTCCATGCTAAATAATGCATTCAGTGCTTTAAGAGATGTTAACTGTGGTCACAATTCCATTTTACCACAACCTCCGCCTACCACTTCCATATTAGGCAGAGTAGCAAATCAGACTGTCGTCTGTGTTAAACGGTTTTAATACAAGAAGGTAATATGATGCTAGGAACTCCAGCCATCATAGCCACTTCTTTGAGATTAAGTGGTTATGGTACCCGGAGTACTCATTTTAAGCACAGATTATCATATTAATGTAAATGTTCTTTCATTGCTTAAGAGGACTAGTCATCCAGACCACTTCATCTAAATGAAGTGGCCTGGGTGCAGTGTCCCAATAATTGTAAGCCTGCAATGTGAACAATTGCTGTATTGTAGAAACTGCAATGTTTACATTGCAGAACTACACACCTCTAGTGCTGTCAGAATAACAGCCACTAGAGGCGCTTCTGCAGCACTGAGTAAAACTTGGTCATGTGATGTGGACTCTGTGTAGGGAAGCATTGATTCAATTAATCATTGGAAGAAAATTGGATTAAACAGGTGAGAGAGGGAATGCATTTTCCTTCTTTCTCCTGTTGTGGTAAACGTAGAGGTCAGCAGTGCAGACACTGGAATAGGGAAAGTAACATTTTATTTAAAAAAAAAAAAGTGTGTGGAGTGCTGAAAAAAAAGAGTAGGGACACTATATAGCTTTATATTCCTAAAGCTAGTGTATCTTTAAAGGGACATTCAAGGCTGGATTTGACCAATTCTTTAATGTTTTACATCAAAGTGCCATAATACAAATAAAACAAAACAAAATTGGAGAGAACAGATGCACCTGTCATACCCAGTGGGCATTGTTCATTGTACAAATATTGTCAATTATTGTGATGTGTATTTGTTGTTAAAATATTAACGAATTTATTAGTTATCTGATTAATTGATCACAGCATGGTAAGTGTTTGGCTGTCTTGAGATAGAGGTCAAAGGAAAAGGGTAGTAAATTAAAGGGACACTAAATGCACGCAGACCACTTCATCTCATTGAAGTGCTCTGAGTGCTAAGTCCCTGTCCCCCTTAAAGGACCACTATAGTGCCAGGAAAACATACTCGTTTTCCTGGCACTATAGTGCCCTGAGGGTGCCCCCACCCTCAGGGACCCCCTCCCGCCCGGCTCTGGAAGGGGGAAAGGGTTAAAAACTTACCTTTTTCCAGCGCTGGGCGGAGAGCTCTCCTCCTCCGCTCCTCCTCCTGGGCTGAATGCGCACGCGCGGCAAGAGCTGCGCGCGCATTCAGCCCGTCGCATAGGAAAGCATTTACAATGCTTTCCTATGGACGCTTGCGTGCTCTCACTGTGAAAATCACAGTGAGAAGCACAAGCGCCTCTAGTGGCTGTCAATGAGACAGCCACTAGGGATTAGGGGAAGGCTTAATATTGATAAACATAGCAGTTTCTCTGAAACTGCTATGTTTATAAAAAAAAAAATGGGTTAACCCTAGAAGGACCTGGCACCCAGACCACTTCATTAAGCTGAAGTGGTCTGGGTGCCTAGAGTGGTCCTTTAAACCTGCAATGTAATTATTGCTGTTTCTTAGAAACTGCAATAATTACATTGCAGGGTTAAAACTGCCTCTAGTGACTGTCAATCAGACAGTAACTAGAGACACTTCCTGGTGTTTAGGTGACTTTTGGGGGCCTATCTGACGCTGTAAGTCACGCTCTGCATTGGGACATCCAGAGTTAGTCCTATCCCCATAGGAAAGCATTGCCTGCCGCACATGCACATTAGCTTAGCTTGTAAAGAGTTTATAGATGCTGTTTTATTTTTTGGGCAATGCATATAAAATATTAATCATGTTTTGGTGTCAAATTATTTGTATGGGTTCACAGAGATGATCTGCCCTTTTACAAACAGTTTAAAACCATGTGTACATAAATAAAATACATCGGCTCAACTAATACCAGGTTGCAATTTTGTCCTGGCGTCTGGGATATGTTAGCCTTTTAGTGATGGTAACCGCTCTAGGGACCATTGGAGCTGGCTGGCTGAGGCTGCACGCGAAGGAGCAGTAATCTGCCTGCGGTTCCTCTCTAAAGGAAAACTACGTCACTCTGGCCCGGCATCACTTCAGAGAGCGTGCATGGGGAGCGGAGAGGAACTGCAGGAAGATCAGAGAGCAGTTACACTGGACCCCAGGGAATGACCCACTCAAGCTCTCCCACAGGTAGGGAGTCTCTGTGTACATAAATTAAAATTCAAATGACAATTTGTGAATTTATGAGAAAACGTCTGTTTAGGTACCTGACCCCCTTCGATCTCATGAGAAAAGTGGTTTTACTCACCATTTTCCCCATGCCATACCTGTTTCTCCATGGCTGAGATCATCAATCTTTGTGATCTCAGCTAAGCCATAGGAAAGCATTGTGAGGATATAGCGCCTGTTCAGCACTGATTCAGGACCCTCTAGTGCAGTGATGGCAAACCTATGGCACGCCAAGCCCTCTCTGTGGGCATGCGGCCTTAGGTCGCTGGGGGAGGGGGCTGCTGGCGCCGGTCGGCAGCAATGCAGAGTAGGCACCAAAATGGCAGGCGCCTACTCTGCTTTCGTGTCGGAGCGCGTTACCATGGCAACGCTCCACACAGAATTGCGCGGGAGGACAGGAGAGCTGCAGCACATACACATACCACCACCGGATCACCTGGACTGGCTGTCGTCCCCCCTTCACCAAAGGTAAGAAGAAGGGAAGGGTAGATAAAGATTTTATATCTTTTTTTTTTTTTTAAATGTATCATTACCGCGCACACTGCACCCCTTAGTGCAGTCTGTATGTATTCAGTTGACTGTGTGTATTCAGCAGTGTGTGTATTCAGCGGACTGCGTGCGTGCAGCGAACTGTGTGCACTGCATTTGTTGGAAATACTAATATAAGCTTAATTTTATCTATTTATATCATAATTTAAAATTTGTATCATTGAATTCTGTTTTATTTTAAAACAAAAGATGTTAATTAGTTCGGACAACTGTACGAGTTGGTTTTTCTAAACTTAAACCTCAGTATTCAGGGTTAATTGCCGTGTTGGCACTTTGAGGAAAGAAAAGTTGGCATTTATTGCGATTTGGGCACTCAGGCTCAAAAAGGTTTGCCATCACTGCTCTAGTGTCTGAGTGACTGTCAGTAGAGGTGTTACTAGTAGGCAGCAATTTAGAATGGCCGTGGTTACATTGAAAAGCCGCCCAGGACAGGCTACAGACAGCAGAACAACTAAATTAAGCTGTATTGGTTTTGGTGACTACTGTGTTTTAAGAATTGCATTTTTCTCGTTGAAAATTAAACTGTTAGTTTACAAACAAATCTGGCTCCTAGATCAAATTTGCCAAGCCCTGTATTACATTATGCATTTCAGCCAGGTCTTGAAATACATTTGCCTTTTATAAAACTGGAATTCCTACAGTTTACTGCCTCTATTTAGAATCTTTCTAGAAAATTAAAGGGACACTATAGTCACCAAAACAACTTTAGCTTAGTGAAGCAGTTTTAGTGTATACATCATGCACCTGCAGTCACACTGCTCTATTCACTGTCATTTAGTGGCTCTTAGCTTTTTTTAGCTGGTTCTTAGATTCCAAGCAATTTTGTCAAGCACTGCTGTGATCAATTAGAGCTTGACAAAATATTTAGTTTTTATGTCTTGTGTACATTTGTTTGTAACATTTTGTATTTGTACACACTGTGTGACTACTTTTTGACCATAATACATGTCCTTTATTAAAGAGTCACTATAGTCACCAGAACAACTATAGCTTAATGTAGTTGTTCTGGTGACTATAGTATGTCCTAACAGGCATTTTCATGTAAACACTACTTTTTCAGAGAAAAGGAAGTGTTTACTGTCTAGGCACACATCCAGTGGCAGTCACTCAGATGGCCATTATAGTTGCCTCCTGGGTCAGTGCTGCGCAATGTGCAGCACGTTTAGCATCTCCACGCTCTCCATGGAGGCACTGCACTTTCCCCATAGAGATGCAATAAGTCAATGCATCTCTATGAGGAGAAGCTGATTGGTGTAGTGGCGTCTTGCCGCACATGTGCATTAGCCTCCCAATGCTTCCCTATAGAATGGTCTTAGCCAAGGAGGTGGGGCAGGGCCAGCACTGGCAAACCCGCACGACGATGAAATAAGAGGTTTTTAATCTATTTAAGGTGGGCAAGGAGACCTAAGAGGGGGGGAACTAGGTCTAGGGGGCCTAAAGTCAGGTATACTCGTTTGTATTCCTGACCCTATAGTGTTAAGTTTCTTTTATAGTAGTACTGTGGTTTCATATATATATTTACTAAGCCATGTTTTGTGGCATTTTAATCTGTTGGGGTGACCTAAGATACTACATTTGTAAACTGTCTTGATTGTGGCAGCTTTTATACTAGAATAGGTGTGATGGTGTTAAGAGTGATTGTTGTTTCATTATTTTTGTTCTAGTGCATAAAAATAGTGGTCTTGATCCCTTTCACCCATTGGAACAATTAACCCCTTAAAACCGGAGGGCGTACTATTACGCCCTATTCTAAGCGGCTCTTAATGCCGCAGGGCATAATAGTACGCCCTCACGGTTTTTCTTTCTTACCCGGTTGCCAGTGATCCCACGCCGGAGATCGCTGTCGGGGGACTCACCTGGGATCCCAGGGAATCCCCCCGCCCCCTCCCCCCAGGCCATGTGAGAGTGAGGTCCTTGCCTGTAATGACAGTCCCCCTGCTGGCTGAATTCAAATAAACAACAGTTAAAATCAGTGAGTACGTCCAGCATCATTTAAAACACTTTTTGTGTTCTGAAAAGCCATAAGTCCCTCTAGTGACTGTCTGACAGACAGCCAGTAGAGGAGGATTTATTGCAGTTTATAAAAAAATGCAATAATTAAACTTGCAGGGTTAAGGATAATGGCAGTTGGCTCCCAGACCACTCCAATGGGCAGAAGTGGTCTGGGTGCCTGGAGTGTCCCTTTAACCTTCTATTCAATGCCCATAGTGATACCATTACATTACTGTGGAATTAAAAAGACAGGTTTGTCCCAGGTGCTATAGTAGAAACCCAATTTACTTGTCCTTATACAATATGATTTCAAATTAGGTCTCTGGACCTTGCTTAGACCTGGGCAGGGTTATTCATTAAAATCTAAACTTTCCCAAATTAAATGTGAATGGAAAAATTAAGGCAAAAATTACTAATCTGTAGAAATTCTCCTACATAACGATAGTTGCAACTGTTTATTTTTGCCTCAGTTTTGCTATTCAGATTTAATTTGTAAAAAAAAAATTAACTTGCCTATTGCGGATTATATAAATGCTACATCCCTGCATTAAACTGCCTGTGTCCTATCTCCATCCTAACTAATTTGCTTTTTTTGGGAACATGTTTCTGCAAGTAGGCTGCCACACCCCAGTGACCGTGAAGCTCCTCTGTATGTATTCTGCTTAAAGGAACTCTATAGTGTCAGGAATCCAAACTTGTTTTACTAACCTTTTTCCAGTGCCATGCGGGTCCCCTAGTGGATGGCACCGCCCCCCTTGGCTGAGATTATCAAACTTGATTACATCAATTTAATTCTTTCTCATAGGAAAGCATTGGAAGACTATCACGCATGCGCGGAAAAACCGCATGTGCCAATCAGTATCTCCTTATAGATATGCATTGAATCAGTGCATCTCTATGGGGAACGTTCAGCGTCTCCATGCAGAGCGTGAAGACCCTGAATATCAGTACTGTGCAGCACTGACCCAGGAAGCACCTCGAGTTGCTGTCTGAGTGACTGCGACTAGAGTTGATACTAGGCAGTAATGTAAACACTGCTTTACAGTGTTTACTATAAAAAGCCTACAGGGACAGGCTATAGACACCAGATAGTGGTTGCTATAGTGTCCCTTAAAAAAAAAAAAAAAAGTTTCCCATCTTTTTCATGTCTCTATTTTAGAACCAGCATTTATGTAGACACCTGTGCCAACTAATTGATTAGTAGGAATATTTTTACATTAGTGTTGAATGTTTGCATGCGACACTGCAGGCCCTAATGGAATTTTCATACTAAAAATTAAGAAAATAAAAACACAACTTATTGGCTCAAGGTTTGTGCTAAAACCTCTCTAGTGACTTTTCTGCTGTAAGTACAAATAGATATGTATATCCCTTGGAAGAAGCCACAGGTTATACCATTCGCCTGATGACAGGCAGCCAGAGGAGTGCACCTCTGCACCGCCAATGTCCCCACAATAGTAACAGAAAGAGGGTAGGATGTTGGTTCCGGGGGGATCGCTGACCGTGCATCTCAATTTATTGTATGTTTTCACATGGCAAGGTCTCCAAAATTGTATGAGTGATAACTCCTAAGTGGTGTGTTGCAGAGCAACGCTATGTTTTGACCATACCACCGTTTGCTTGAGCACTCCGTTTAATCCATAACTAGTGCTAATCTATTTGGTGTTTATTTTATATTATGCTCATGCTACTTTAATCCTTATTGCGTCACAAATTTTGGCACGCTTATTTCTATTTGTCTCATGTGCTGTCATTGCAATGAAGGTACTGTACAACACTAGACTAGGAATTACCTCTACTGGCAGTCTGAGTGACTACTACTATAGGAATTACTAGGCAGCAATGTAAACCGTGCCTTTTCTCTGTTAAAACTGTAGTGATGGGCTGTAGACACAAGAACTACTTCATTAAGCTGTAGTGGTTCTGGTGACTAGTGTCCCTTTAAGGGCAAAACAGTAAAGCATGTATTTGTGTTTGCATGTTGCATAATATGAAAGCATATGTCATGTGGTACGTTGACACTGCACAGTGTGCAAATGTTTCTCCTCCCTTGTTGCTTATCATTCCTCTCTATGCATGACTGCATGCTGCTGTCTCACAGTCTCTGAAAATATGTACAACTGGGAGGGAATAGTCCCCCCCTCCCCCAATTGCCAACAAGCTAAATGTACAACATGTCAGTGACATAATATATACAGTTAATAGTGCAGAGGTCTGTGTTGTGACAGCGCTCGACTTGCTGTGAAGGACTTTTATTTTTAGATTGTTGTAGTTTTTCATGTTACATAATGCTGTCTTGTAGGTGAATGCATGCAGTTATTTACATAAGTAACATGGAGCTGTGTATAAAACTTATGCATGGACTGTGCATGTCACAATGGTATGGTTTCTCTCTGCAGTGTGACTGCTTAATCCAGTCTGACACTTTAGGGTTTGTGGCATGAGACCTGCAAATAGTGGATCCATAAAAATGCATGCTAAGTGCAATGTGGCAGTAGTGCTTAGCTATGTAACCATGCTGATGTTCAGACCAGTTATGCAGAGAGCTCACATACAGAAATATAAACTCCCTGAATCACAGTGTAAATTTCATCTATACTTATGAATGGAGAGAAATGGGTGAAGGTATGGGTTGTGCGTTCTTTCAAAACGTGAATAATTTGTTATTCTCCTTAACATGACTTATGTCATGTACCATAAATATCTACTTAAAACGACTGTCACTTTTTTTTCCTTAGCTTGACAAAGACCTCTTGTTAGGTCGAAACGTTGCTGTCTTTTTTGTTTCAATAAAACTGCCTGCGACTTTAACATCCTTAGTGCCTGGAGATATTTTTTTCTATTGCTTTTTGTCCAGGGTCTGCCCTGTTGTTTTACTCTTTACCCTCCTCCATTCTTTGCATAATTAATTACCATTTATTTCAAAGGTATACATAAGGAAAAGTAGCAGGTTGACAATGGGTGAAGCTTTAGCCAAGCTCCACAGCCTTTGTCAATCCAGGGCTCGACTTTAATCCATGGCTCAACCCCGTTCAGCCCCTGAGGTAACCGGCTGCCTGAAAGCAAAGGCTGGCAGCCAGCTAATGGAGGGCTGAAGCAGGCGGGCAGAGGCTGACTGAGTGCTTATATTCCATAAGCGTGCCCCACTCTGCTTCATGTAGGGACACTCCCACTGGTTTATTTTCCAAATCAAGAATTGACAGGTATGAGGACATTTTTGCTTTTAGGAATTAATACCTGGAGTTGGAGATCTGTTTTTCGTTTGGCCTAAAGTATAACATTCTCTTGTTTTGTGAATAACATATACTGTATACACTTGTAGAAGTGTCAACAAACCTGTATATGGTTTGCTTCCTCAAAATGGTAGGTTAATATGAATGTGGGTGTTGCTATGTTAACACATGGCATTATAGTTGGCATGCATCCATTCTTGGCAGACCTCTTTAAGATTTTGCTAGAGATTTTGCTTTGAATCATCTTTCTCCTTATACTCACTTGCCTTTAGGGAAATCTCTGGTATATTGATGTTGACTACAGGAAGCACTTTAATTATTATACAGAAGTCACTTGGCAGTATTCTGCCGTTCTTTGAGCTTATCTTTGTATAGACTGTTGAATCTAAGCCTTGCTTGTGTTCCATTCATTTTACTTAGTTTATTATAGTTGGACACGAACAGGCTCAATATTTCCTGTCACCCACTAGCCATTGGCAGTGTACATCTTTACAGTTTTATAAGTAAAATGTTTTATATTTACTGAAAATAATTGTATTCCCTCAGACACAGTCAGCTTTACATTCAACACAATGGAGAGTGCTGATTCTACAGGAAAAGGAAGTGGTGAACAATCTGAATCCCAACGCCAAAGCCAGATGGACAGGTTGGATAGGGAGGAGGCTTTTTATCAGTTTGTAAATGGCCTGAATGAGGATGACTACCGGCTCATGAGAGATAATAACCTACTAGGAACGCCAGGTATACAGAATATGGTATACAAAGTTTATATAGTAACTAGGTTGAACAGACTCAAGTCCATCAAGTTTAACCCGTCAAACACATTTTAATACCGTTGATCCAAAAGAAGGCACAAAAAAAAGTTTGATTTCTCAGAATAGTTGCATAAAATGTCCTTTTGTCATAAGTCCTCATGAGATGATTTTACAAGGCTCTTTTACACTACAGATAAATATACATGCAAATAAGGCGTGAAAGATCTTATCAGTAGGACCCAGTTTGACGTGGGTCTGCCTTCTTTTTGTTTTCAGCATAATTATACTTTGTAATATATATATAATTGCCTGCTTGCAAGTTAGGTGCCTTGGCTGCCATTTCATATGCCAACCTGTTATTACAAATATTTATAATGCTTACCTGGCTCTTAAAATAATTAGGTTAGATCCCTGATACAGTGGTACCTCGGTTTAAGAATTTAAAGCATTTTCCGGGACCTTTCTTATAGCAAAAAAATTATAAACTGAAACACGGTTTCCCCATAAGAATGCATTGAAAACCAATTAATCCGTTCTGGAGGTCAGAAAAAAGTAAAAATGAGCTGGCATGGAAACCAACCCACAATGCAGAACACAGTAAGTCATGCAAACGACAAAGCTCAGCTCACTACCTTTCCACTGTTTGAGAAATGACCCAAAAAAAGTCCCAAAACCACTGCAAAAAACTTCCAGAATGGCTCCAAAACTCAATACAAACGTTGCTTCAACACCTCCACACTTGACGCCCCGTGCTACCCATAAACTCCAGCATGCACGGGGGCGGCACTATAAATCTCCCAGATGCAATGCATCCTGGGGAAACGTGCTTTGTATAGCGAAACAAATTTGTAAACAAAGGCATTATTTTCAATGGATTTTCATTTGTAAACCGAATATTATGTTAAAGGACCATTCTAGGCACCCAGACCACTTCAGCTTAATGAAGTGGTCTGGGTGCCAGGTCCCTCTAGGATTAACCCCTTTTTTTTGTAAACATAGCAGTTTCAGAGAAACTGCTATGTTTATAAATGGGTTAATCCAGCCTCCAAATCCTCTAGTGGCTGTCCCATTGACAGCCGCTAGAGGCGCTTGCGTGCTTCTCACTGTGAAAATCACAGTGAGAACACGCAAGCGTCCATAGGAAAGCATTCAGTCGAAGAGGAGGATCGGAGGAGGAGAGCTCCCCGCCCGGCGCTGGAATAAAGATAAGTTTAACTCCTTTCCTCGCCATCCAGCCAGGCGGGAGGGGGACCCTGAGGGTAGGGGCACCCTCAGGGCACTATAGTGCCAGGAAAACGAGTGTTTTCCTGGCACTATAGTGGTTCTTTTAACCAAGGCGTTTGTAAACCGAGGTACCACTGTGTCTATATCTAGCAAAGATTCATCATCCCCAACTTTCAGTTAAATTGTATTTAAATGTACATCTTTAACTATATTGTGAAAACTCCTGTTCTGAAAGATTGCATTATGAGGATGCTAAAAGCGCCTCTGTATGTTCTTAATGCCTTAGTGGATCCTATCTTGCATCAGCATAAGTGTCTGAAAGCGTTATGTGAAATGGATAGTGATAACACTACTTTTTCATATCTGTGCAATTTTGTACACCTTTTTAGTCTCTCGTTTTATCAACCATTCTTCATACTATATATTTTTTTTTTCTCCCTGAAGGGGAAATTACTAAGGAAGAATTGTTGAGAAGGCTCCAGCAAATTAAGGAAGGACCTCCTCCGCCAAACACGGATGAAAACAGAGGTATTACTGCAGATCTGAAAATTATGATAACCTAAAACAAAGGGTTCATTTTGAAGTTTTATGTCTTCCTCCTTTGATTGCCTTCTAGATTCTGTTATGTGTATGTTTAAATATCAATTAAACCGTTAAGGACTAAGCCTTAATTGCCTGTTTTTCACTTAAGAACCAAAGCAATTTTTGCTATGTGTGTGTTCAACTGCAATTTCCATCCTTTTCATTTTTTGAACCAACAAATGTTATATACTGGTTTTTAAAGGACTGAAAGAGCTTTAATTTGAAGTACAAATGCAAAAAAAAAGTTTTTTTTCACAGGCTTGGCAATAAGTAGTGAAACTGACAAAAAGTAATTCAAAATAAATGTCGGGATTTAGAGAGTAATATTAGGAGTAGGAGTTCACTTTATTTTGGTAGTTACAGGTCACAACATACAAGGAGTACAATAACATTGTGCAGTGATTTAGAATTTGGTGTGCTTGCTTTGTAAACTTAATAGCCATCACAAAAAATACAATTAAAATATTCATATAAAATAGACATCTCAATCTAAGGGTTTTTGACCCTTTTTATGTAGCCATTTAACTGCCAATCTCTGCTAAATATTATACTAGAATTGTGTTTTGTTTCTGATTTGTAACATACACACATACAATAAGGTTTCTTAAATGGGTATTTCATAAACCTGATGTGTACTTGTCCTATACAAAACTTAGTATTGTGTTCTGCTACATCTTCTGAGTACAGTAGCCCAATGTATGCTGTATACGCTTTCATGGCATATAAGAAAGATGACCTTTTTAGTTAGAATTTTGATTAATGGATTTGATAGGCCTATGTCTGTTTTGGGCATTATGGCAGTTTTTGTTCAAATTATCCCACAAAGGCCTACCATTTGTGAAAGTAGACATAATATCTCATATAATATTGTGCTTGTACATGCCACTATTTTTTTTATTTTTAGCAGTAAATCTGTTTGTAGAAACTTTTATTTATTTTAAAAAAAAAATTCATTTCTTGCATTTTTGCTAGTTATTTTTTAATTCAACTTATGCTCAGCTACATCTTCTGGGTACGATACATCCAATGTATGCCATAGACACTATCTTGTGAAGTTACAGTTGCATATGAGATGTCACATAATTTCTCAACTGTGCATTTTCATAGATGGATTTGATTGGTATGTCTCATTTTGGTGCATTTTAGCAGTTTGACAGTTAAAATTATCCCATGAAGGCCTTCTGTTTGTGAAAGTAGACCAGGGTTCAACAAATCCCTTGTCCCCATGGCGACTAGAAATTTCGCCCTGGTGCCTGAGATGACACAAGGTAGAATTGAGGCAGTGGGGAACATTGGAGCCAGCCGCCCACCCTGGCTGAGGCAGCAAGGAAGCTGCAAGTGAGGGAGCTGTAATCTTCTTGCAGTTCCTCTCTGCTCTATTGCACGCTGTTTAATAAAGCTGGGAGCCGGAATATGACGTCACTCTGGCCCTGGCATTACTATAAATAGTACGTAGGGGAGCACAGAAGAACTGCGGGAAGATTACTGCTCCTTCACATACATGAAGATTAGAGAGCAGCCCCACTGGGCCCCAGGGAAAGATCCACTCAGTTCTCCCAAAGGTTGGAAGGCTGGTGGACATAAGTTTAACACTAAAATGTCAGTTTGTGAGTGTGTGAGAAAATGTCTGTCTCTGAAGGGGACAAGTACCTAAATAGGCACAAAATCGTATGAGATGAGATGATCTCCTTTTTTCCCCATGCCGTGCCAGTATCGCCATGGCTGTTGCTGGCTCCATGGCTGAAATAATTGCTCTTTATGATCTCTGCTAAGAGAGGATATTGCGCATGCACAGTAAAGCATATATTCTCACAGAACTGCATTGAATCTATGTATCTCTATAGGGAACATTCAGTGCCTCTATACAGAGCGCGGACGGACAGAGGACTCTCTAGTGGCCATCTGAGTTACTGGCACTAGAGGTGACTGTTTACATTTAAAAGGTCTGCGGGTACAGGTTATAGACACCGGAAAAACTACATGAAGCTGTAGTGATTCTTTTGTCTATAGTGTCCCTTACGAATTGCATTTTTCTTGTTGAAAATTAAATTGTAAAAATGTTGTTTTTTTGTTTTTGTTTTTTTTAATGGCTCCTAACTTTTTTAGCTGGGTACTTGATTCTAAATAAATTTGTCAAGACCTGAAGTAGACACCCATATGGTTTATATTGTATCTAAAACATTTTCATCACTCTATGTCAAAGTTGGTAATGTATTTGTTTTCCCCTCAATTTATTTTTAGCATTTTTACATGCACATAGAATTTTTGCTAGATATTTTGTAAATCTGTGTGCCACTGTGATAAAAACATCCAAATTATGCTCAGCTATATCTTCTAAGTACAACAATATCCGTAAAGTATGGATTTGTCGCTAATTTGTAATGTTGCAGTGCGAATTGTAATAGATCGATTAATGGAGCTATATCTCATTTTGGAGTATTCTAACAGGTTGCTAGTTCAAATTAACTCACAAAGGCCTACCATTTCTTAAAGACGACACCTCGGGATATCTGAAATTGCATAATTTGCTGATTAAGAGGCCCCTGTTTTGCTTGTTTGTACCAAGTATAGTGGGAATAAGTGTTTTTGTAGCATTTTATAGCATTTCAGCAGACCATGATTGCACATTACCCCACAAAGGCAAAATGTATTTTTAAATATAAGCAGCTCATCAATTCATGTTAAGAGAGTATACAATTTGCTCTAGTCTAGGCCTTCAGCTATACAAATGTTTTTTGGAGGGACATAAATGATTTCAAATGTCTGATTTAAAGAGACATTATGGTCACCAAACAACCTTTTAGCTTTTTATACCAATTGTGGTGTATAGATCATGCCTCTGCAATCCCATTGCTCAATTCTCTGCCATTTTGAAGTTAAATCACTTTAAGCAGCCCTGGGTACTCCTACCTGCATGTGACTTACATAGCCTTCCTTAACACTTCTGTAAAGAGTCTTCTGTTTACATTTCCTTTATTGCGAAGCATGCTATATTTAGAATGTATTATCTCCTGCTCTGCTAATTGCTTGCTAGACCAAGCAAGGGCATCCTGTATGTGATTAAAGTTTAATTTAGAGAGCAGGAGAACTTTTCTAATTGAAAATAATCTTTGTTTCATACAGGCTGTCAGTCACAGCCAGGGGAGGTGTGGCTAGGGCTGCATAAACAAACAAAAGTGATATAACTCCATCATGGCATACCATTTGCAAATGTAGACAACCCAGTGTATTCAAATAGGGTATGTCCAGTCTTTTGTAGTAGCCACGTAGTCACGAACGCTGGCCAAAGTTAGTGTTTTTAAAAAAAAATTTGCATTTTTTTTTTAAACAAAAACTGCACTTTCACTATCATTGTTGTTATACGTTTTACTGTTTTTAAACACTCATATTTGTCTTCAGCAAAGTCTCAAAAGTATAACAGTACCCCCCATGTACACGTTTTATAGTGTTTTTGAAATTTACAGGGTCAAATATGAGGCTTACCAATTTCATTTTTTCATTGAAATTGGCCAAATTGATTGTTGCCTTTTGATACCGTATGGTAGCCCAGGAATAAAAAAATTACCCCCATGATGGCATACCATTTGCAAAAGTAGACCACACAAGGTATTGCAAATAGGGTAAGTCCAGTTTTTTCTAGTAACCAAAGTTAGCGTTCATATTTGTTTTTTTGCATTTTTCACACACAAACAAATGTAAATGCTAACTTTGGCCAGTGTTTGTGACTAAGTGGCTACTACAAAAGACTGGACATATACCCCATTTTGAATACCCTAGGCTGTCTACTTTTTCAAATGGAATGTCATGGTGGGGTTTTTTTCATTTTTGGGTTGCCGTACCTTCTCAAAGGCAACATAGCCAATCTGGCAAATAGCAATTTACAAAAACAGAATTTGGGAAATCTTATGTTTGACCCAGTAACTTTCCAAATCACCATAAAATCTGTACTTGAAGGGTACTGTTGTACTCGTGAGACATTACTCTACACAAATAAGTGTTTTAGAGCAGTACAATGTGTTGTACTGATATCATCGGTGAAATGGCAGTTTGTGTTTAAAAAAAAAAAACTAATGTAAACGCTAATTTTGTCCAGGGTTTGTGACCAAGTGGCTACTAAAAAAGAGTGGACATACCACATTTTGAATACCGTGGGTTGTCTACTTAAAATATAAATATATATATAATATATATATATATATATAAATTTATTTTTTTTTTTTTCAAAATCCTTTGGAGTGCTCCTTTATTGATTGGATAAAATATATATATATTCTATCCAATCAATAAAGGAGCACTCCAAAGGATTTTGAAAAAATGTTTATAATCCGATGTTTAAAAAAAAATCCAATCATCAACGTTTCGACCCAATAGGGTCTTTATCAAGATAACAACCTTTAATTAGTGACAATATATACAGAAATAAAAATAGATCTAACTTACCCCACCTGAGAAGTTATCCCCTCTCACAAAGTGCTGCTGAATAGTGCGCATGCGTAGTGACGTCACCGGAACGGTGCGTCATGACGTGTGTGTGCGTACGTGTGTAGTGACGTGGTCATATGACCCCATGGACCGCAAGCGTGTCCATGGAAACCTAAACCAAATAAAAACAAAGCAAAAAAAAGGAGGTAGAAAATCTACAGATCGGACCAGAGTCATAAAGATATTGATAAGCCACAATCCAGATATAATAAACATATTAATTCACTGAGTGTAGGTATGGAGCAGATGTGAAAAAGGAAACCAAATAAGAGCTTATAAGAATAAAGACAATAGTATATGAAAAAAGGTAAATGAGACGTGTGAAAACAAGTAAGAGCCTCTAAAGAAAAAGGTAAAACTATGGCATGTGAAAAGGTGTAAAAAATATAATAAATACAGAAAAAATAATAATAAAAAATATATAAGTGTGAATGTAATAAAAAGTGAGAAATATGTGTATGCACATATACACCTCAGAAAAATGTGAAAGAAAAAGATAAGACCTAATACACCCAAGAATCCTAGACATATAAAATCCAGTAATATGAAATCCATGTATAATTGAAACTAGGTCCGATGATAATTCCAGATATAAATCTAATATAAGGCAATCTTACTAATGGACAAAAAAATCTACATAATAATATGTGTATGTGTATGTATATATGTGTATGTATATATGTGTATGTATGTATGTATGTATGTATGTATGTATATATATACTCTATATGTTAAACTCCTTCACATATATCGGGTAGATAAACTTCACAATTTAAACTTTTACAATGAAAAGAGAGTACAATGAAAAGAGTTTCCCATCTCTAAAAGCCATCATTATGACCCCATGACGGCTTTTAGAGATGGGAAAACAGACAAACTGGTGGCTAAACACTTCCTTGCATTTAACCACAGACTACCTACGCTTAAGTTTATTGCTATAGACGTTATACCTATTCCAACAAGGGGAGGAGACCGGTCAAAATTACTACTCCAAAGGGAGACCTTTTGGATTAAACAATTGGATACGTTACAACCCAAGGGATTGAACGAATATGTTTCATTTAACTCATTTTTGGAGAGATGTTAGTCTAGTTTTGATTTTTCTAGGCATTGAGCCCTACATTACATGTTTTCTGTACTCTCTTTTCATTGTAAAAGTTTAAATTGTGAAGTTTATCTACCCGATATATGTGAAGGAGTTTAACATATAGAGTATATATACATATTAGATTTTGTTTGTCCATTAGTAAGATTGCCTTATATTAGATTTATATCTGGAATTATCATCGGACCTAGTTTCAATTATACATGGATTTCATATTACTGGATTTTATATGTCTAGGATTCTTGGGTGTATTAGGTCTTATCTTTTTCTTTCACATTTTTCTGAGGTGTATATGTCCATACACATATTTCTCACTTTTTATTACATTCACACTTATATATTTTTTATTATTTTTTCTGTATTTATTATATTTTTTACACCTTTTCACATGCCATAGTTTTACCTTTTTCTTTAGAGGCTCTTACTTGTTTTCACACGTCTCATTTACCTTTTTTCATATACTATTGTCTTTATTCTTATAAGCTCTTATTTGGTTTCCTTTTT